CTAATGCTATTCTTATGGAGAACATTTTACGTTATATCTAATTTTGTGTTAAGATTTTGTGAATTTCACTATTTTTCCCGCTGTCACGGGATCAATACCTTTAATTTGAGCCCTCTCCCGTCGTTCTACGACTTCCCAGTCGCCCACAATTTTGACGCAAAGAATCGGCTTACGTAATTAATATATTGATATAGACCGTCAGCAGTGCTGCGGTTAGCATAAGTTCTGGCGTCCACCACTGCAAGCGCCGTGTGTACTTACGTATCTCGTGCGCCTCAACTACACGGCGTTGAGAGCTAACCACAGCACTGCTGATGGTCTATATTTAATTCTATTTGTCATAAGTTTTAAAATCTTAGAACAAATGGTATAGGATAACATTTAAAATATCTATTGACTTATGACGGTATATTTATCATTTTTAGCAAACCTATAGTTGAACCACCACGGCCACCTTTAACTCCAGGCCGCAGCCTTAGAATTGGCAATGTTGCAAGTAGTGTTGAAATAGCTGTGTTGTTTGGAGCCAGCTAATAGTATTAATTTGTGTATTTTTTTAGAATACAAATGCTTGGTTACTGATGGGCTATGAAAATATTGATTCCACTTTAAATGTACAGAAATAGATTTTCAATTTATATTGGTTTGGTTCTCATATGTTTTATTTTCAATCTTACTAATATTATAAATGTGAAAGTTTGTGTGTTTGTTTGAAGTTCAATTACGCTTTAACCACTGGACGGATTGGGCTGAAATTTAGCATGATGATAGCTCACATTCCTGATTAACATATAGGCATTCTTATCTCAAAAATCCTTCCGGGCTGCGCCCCAGTGGCTCTGTAGCTCTCCATGTTAACCTTATGAGTATTCATATTTAACTAGCTATTACCTACGGGCTTCACCCCGTTTGACTTCATAGGTATTAATAAAACTATTGATTGGTTAAGTTAAGCTGAAATCTACAAAACAGAATACAAACAAATGATCACACCTGATTTTAGTAAGGTAATAAATGGAAAGAATAACATACAAATAAGTACATCTGAGGTATTTTTAACATTAGGTATATGGAAAGTTCTCTTTAGAAAGCAATTACGACCTTAAGGGCAATTTATGAAATAATGGATAGTTTTGCGCATGGTTTCTCATCATGACGAACATTTTAAGTATACTAGGTGAAACCCGTCGAAATCGACGGTTACTTTCAAGGCTTACGTTAATTTATCTAACTGCGATAAATTGGGTGAAATATACATATTTTGAGCATCTAGCATTGTTTAAAGAGTAATAAGTGTAAAAACAATAATGATATTAATTGCGTTAGTTGCCAAATTAGGTTGATCATTCAATGAATAAAATATTCCCCATACCGTACGTCATCGGAGTTATTATTAGTATGTTATATGGTATATCTTCCTTTAGAAGAACGTTTAAATAGTATTAAAATCGTATTGATGGATCTTTTGTAGTTAAACACTTTCGTGATTTCATCAGTGCAATATGATTTTATTTAAAAAGAAAATATTTTTTTAGGAAGACATATTCTAACTTCAAAGGGAGGTATAACTTTAAAGGGAGGGAGGTTCATATCGTACTTCTGTGCCAATGAATGAACCCTCTATCATAGTTTTGAGAAATTATTGATTGTGGGGTTACTGTTAAAGCTGGAGTTCCCTGACATGGGGATGCCAGTTTAGTTGTCTCAGCCTTATCAATAACATAAAGTTGTCAATATAATCTCTCTACGGAATGTTAGGTGTAGTGGAATACTTGAAGTAAAGTTGGCTTTTATTCTTGTACTGTTAGAGGCCTCCTTGTTTATATGGTCGTGCGGCTTCATAGGCAACAAATAATGCAAATGACATAGCAATGGGACATTTCCAAAAAGCAAAAATACTGTAAATTGGCTGTTACGTATATATTGACATTTACATATTGTTAATCAACGTATCTTATAAAGGATTATGTGATCTAGTTTAACAGGAATATGACCTTTCTGACATGACAGTAGCTGCTTAAATAGTGTTTTCTCTTTGTAACATCTTTTACAGCCAAAATGTTGTGTTATTTTTTAATAATGTTACCAAACCAGTGCATTTATTTATGACGTAGGTTACACGTAGGTTACGTAGGTTACGTAGGTTAAACTTCATAATTTAAATGAATAATACACAAATTAATGAGCTGGGATCACCTGTCTGCCATGTTGTCTTATGGGACGTCTGGTGCTAAACAACACTACTTGCTTGCCAATTCTACCAGGCAAGCCTGGAGTTAAAGGTGGCCATGACCACCTCATAGTGCAATGAGTGCGCCAAAGTCCATAATATAGGCAGGTGCAAATAATTTCAAGATGGGTACCATTTTAGACAAAGTTTCTATGTTTGGATTTTATTAGACATGATAAGAGCAGATATTTCTACATAAATATTTTATATGTGTAGAATAATATGATGAAATGTAGGCAAAAGAGATGAAAAAGGCAGACACCAACCCGTACAATAGATATAAGGTAGTTCAATAAGAAATAATTTAAGAATTGCTGTGATAAAAGGATTTTCCACTGATTTCGTAATGGAACGTTATACTGCAAAACATGACATGATAAACGAGAAAATCTATTTTAAAATCAGAAAATAATATTGCAAATACTTATTTGGTAGAATTCAGTAACTCCCAATAAATGTGTGTTGTTTGAAATACAATTTAAAAATGAACAGCTTTTTCATTAAAAAGTATTATTCACACGGCCAAAATGTAAACAACTCTGTGGAGGGATCTTTAAAGGCTTCTGGGGCAGAGTCCTAAGGGATTTTGATTAGTTTTTCTTTTGATAACTCATCTACAGACTAAGACCTTTCTTTGGACACCTCCATCAAGTTTCTACGCCCAGCTGTTCTCTCAAATTAGTGGGGACAAAGTTTCCTATTAAATATTTTGATTTCCCCATGTTAATCTTATGGGAGAAACTCACACTTTGATGGCCTGTGGGGCAAAGCCCGAGGACTTTTATTGCAGGAATTGGTGAAAGGGGGCGTCTTCATAAAAAATACTTTATTTTGGCACTTCGTTTGTAAAAATCCGTCCATTATTATCGGAGGAGTAGGGTTTCGTAGAAATCACCTTCACGTATTATACAGACTGTCCCAAAAGTCCCGGACCGGTTTAATATTTTCTAAACGACAACCGATAAATCAATAAGATTTGGTACATCAACACCACACCTAAAAATCTACTTTTTTAAGGAAATATCAATTTTCTGTCACATCATGGGGACGTCCCCGCAAGGAGTCAGAAGGAAATCTTAAATAGAAGCATAGGTTGACATGTACATCAAATTAAAGGTCTTTACTAGCAGAATATAATGCTGCAAATTTGAACTCAAACGGACAACCAAGTCAAGAATTACAGTGGTTCAAAGATCCATTTAATTTGCAATTGGGGGCACAGCCCTAGGAATCGGAAAAGATTTTTTAATGTAAGCATAGGTCGATATGCACACCAAATTAAAGGTCTTCACTAGTAGATTACAATGCCGTAAATTCAAGCTCAAAAGAACGCCTGAGTAAAAAATGACAGTCGTTCAAAGATTCAAAATGGCAGGTTCAAGAAATCTTTGAACGGCTGCCATTTTTTACTCAGGTGTTCTTTTGAGCTTGAATTTACGGCATTGTAATCTACTAGTAAAGGTCTTTAATTTGATGTGCATGTCAACCTATTCTTCTATTTAAGATTTCCTTCTGACTCCTTGCGGGACGTCCCCATGATATGACAGAAAATTGATAGTTCCTTAAAAAAGTATATTTTTAAGTGTGGTGTTGATGTGCAAAATCTTATTGATTTATCTGTTGTCGTTTAGAAAATATTAAACCGGTCCGGGACTTTTGGGACAGTCTGTATATAAGGATGGGAATTAAAGAATTTAGTCAGCTGTTTCAACTAAAAAGTTGGTTCTATGATATGCAAAAGCATTAAAAAGTAATAAGATTTACTAACAAAATTTACAGCACTATTGTTCTTTTGCATTTATGAAACAGCTAATTTGAACTAAGCAGCAACAAAAAACTGTGCTACGCAATGAGAACTGTCAAAGTAGGATTGTTTACAGGAATGTTTATGTTTTTAATTTCATGAATGATTTGTGATATTTTGCGGATTTTTAATAATTTATTTTTCTCTTTTGTTTAGGAGAAGTAGTAGAATATTATGGCTATGGTAGATGTGTAATACTGTATACCATAAATTTAAAGAAACAAATTTTATTAAACTGTGTCCTACCCCTTTGCAAACGCAAAACTTGAGTATAACTGCAATAAGCATTTTATACTTGAAAGAACGTACGAAGGACGGGTTCTCTGCTAGTCCTTAAAAAATTTATGTTAATAAATTTAAATTTAAATGAATAATACACAAATTAATGAGCTGGGATCACCTGTCTGCCATGTTGTCTTATGGGACGTCTGGTGCTAAACAACACTACTTGCTTGCCAATTCTACCAGGCTGCGGCCTGGAGTTAAAGGTGGCCATGACCACCTCATAGTCAGTAATTCTCTTGAAATATCATTTTTAAAACTTTCATTGTATTATTGGCATTCTCTTGGTGTGTGTATATGTTGCTCATACAAAAAAATTGTAAACACTATCATTCCTGTAATATCTAAAGGTGAAATACATTAGACGCTAATTTGCAAGATTCGGGTATTTGACGTTGCCGGATTAACAAAGTGCTTTACTACAGGTCTTCTAAAAACAGCCGTTATTGTGATACTAGCGGAAATACTACTAAACATAGAATGCATCTGACGTCTGCCGATCACTACGAACGATTGCTCCTGCTATCCTACGATATCTGTGACACTACTGACATCTAAACTGATCGTGTGTGGCTTAAAACAGCATATATAACACTTTAGTTAGACTTTTAATTAGATTGATGCGAGATTATTGAAAGTGCTCAGCCTTCGAATGCCAGATTGGCAGGCTTTCACTGTACTCACAAATGAGCGAAGGATCTACAAGTGAAGTCCTCAGCTTCAAGACAGCGAGTAGCACAGTTAGCAGCACTGGTGTGAAGCCACTTCTCCTTGTCATGCTCCATCAGTCTGGCGGAGGTGTGTTGCTTAAACTGTACCAAGCCTCCCGTGCAGTTCAACTCATCTAACCCATTCTTGCAGTCCTATTATTTGTCCAAACAACACAATTGATTGAAAATTTTTTTTTTTATAAGGCAAGTACAGCTAACTAATAAAAGGCCATAAGAGCCTTTATAATAGGCCTTTATAGCGTACCTACATGAATATAAATGTCCAATAGCATTTGTTAGTATTTACAAGGGCCATTTTTAATGTAAGGTATGTTTTTGCATATAGCTACATTGTTCGCGTGTACGCTGCAACAAGGCAGCTTGCCGCTTACTGCTATCATTGGTGAAATTAACGGCGCAGTTTGTAGCTCTGTATTTGACGTTTACGTTTTGCTGTATGTCTAGACAATTTTTTAAACTATCGAATCCCCCGCCATATTTGAGATAAGGTCAGTGATACGTTTTTTAACCACAAGGAACATATCCGATGCCGACATTCATCTTCAGATGACTGAAGGTTATGGCCCTAATGAAATGAGTGAGGGTAAAGTTCGGAAACAGGTTAGGGAGTGTAAAAATGGCTGTGAAATCCTTTATCCTTTGTGATCTTCTGTGAGAAGTCTGACTACTGACCAAAAACACAATTCTTACTGAAATGAACATTTTTACAAACTTTTTTTCACTCCCCAACCCACTTCTGCACTTTCCCTCTATCGTTGCATTAGGGTTATAAACTTCAGTCATCTGGTGATAATTATCTGCAGATGATATGTTTCTTGCAGTCAAAAAACATATCACTGACCTTATCTTGTAAGAGGTGGGAGATTCAATCATTTAAAAACATTTTGAAACACAGCAAAGTGCACATGACAACTTCAGAGCTGTTCTGTGCACCGTTCTGTTCTCAAATAATACCAGTAAGCAGGCCCGCTTTTATAAATGGGCAGACTGGGCATATGCCCAGGGCCGCCCGCTTTTCCAAAAATGATTTTATACTGCCATTTTGTAGCCTGAAATTTCCAGGTTCCAACGATATACAACAGTAAGTAAGTTATTGACCCTAAATATAATATAAACATTATTTTTACTTTCTCCCCCTATACCATAGTATATGGAGAAAGTATTGTTTTCGTCAAAATTTTCGAGTTTTTTGTTTTGAGTGGATATATTCGTTTTGGGTCCCCCTGGACCCAAAAAAGTGGTTTTCGAAGTGATGTCTGTGTGTGTGTGTGTGTGTATGGGTGTGTGTGTCTGTGTGTCTGGATGTGTACAGAGCTGGAGACTACACCTGTGGTCCGATTTCGATGAAATTTGGTATGTAGGTTCTAATCCATGGTATCTCCAGGCGTTTTTTTCATTTTTTTGAAATTTTGATTTTTAATGGGGATTTTCCCATAAAAACCCATAAAAAAACTAAAATATCGGATTTTCTCAAAAATGGCCCGAACGATTTTGATACAAATTTAGTATGTTGTAGCCCTTTAAATTCTGAACAAAATGGTACAAAGCCCATTTCTGTAAAAATTACGGTTCAAAAGTTATGGTAAGTTATGTTATTTCCCCATAAAAACCCCATAAAATAACGAAAAATAGGGTCAATTTTGGTAGTTTTTTCATTTTTTAGAAATTTTTATTTTTAATGGGGATTTTCCCATAAAACCCCATAAAATAACGGAAAAATAGGATTTTCCCAAAAATGGCCCGAACGATTTTGATAACAATTTAGTGTGTTATAGTCTTTTATATTCTGAACAAAATAGTACAAATCCCATTTCTGTAAAAATTACAGTTCAAAAGTTATTGTAAATTATGTTATTTTCCCATAAAAACCCCATAAAATAACGGAAAATCAGATTTTTCCAAAATTGGCTCGAACGATTTTGATAAAAATTTAGTATGTTATAGTCCTTTAAATTCTGAAGAAAATTGTACAAATCCCATTTCCGTATATTTACTCTCACCGCTTACACATGATAAAGGTTGTTGACAAGCTTATGGGAGAAAGTATGTGTCAGAATGCTGATACCGTTTATTTAAGAGTATATCAGCTGTTTTCCAGCTGGGGCAGAGGATATTTTGACTTTTGTATATTTTTAGTCCATCAAAAAAATATTTTTTTTTCAAATAGATTTTTTTTACCATTTTGTAGCCTGAGTTTTCCCGTTTCCAACGATATGCAACAATAAGTAAACTTTTGACCCTAAATATAGTATAAACATTATTTTTTAAGAGCATGTCAGTTGTTTTTCAGTTGGGACAGAGCTTTCTGTATTTTGTGGTTTTCCAAAAGTTAAATTTTAGTACATATGTTCCTTTTTCTCAATAACCACAAAAGATATCAATTTGAAATTTTTCAAATTTTGAAATTTTTACATTCCAAATGTACAGAAAGACTAGATCTGTCATATAAAAAACAGAAGTCAGCCATCATCTTAAATAGTTTTCGAGAAAAAGGTACATATGTTAACATGGATGAGTACAACCCCCTTAACTGTTAAATTTTGTTTGGTTAGACCATTGACAATGTCACCTATTTCTCCAGGGATGCTGGTTTTATTTATGAAATTTAATTATTGTGTTGTGGCAATAAAGTAATGACTTGACTTGACATTAGATAAGCTGTTACTTACCGGTTGTCCATCGCACACCCATGGTAAAGGTATACAGTCATTGAGTCCACAGGAAAACAGATTAGCAGCACAAGTGTAACTACTCTCTCCAGCAGCTCTTTCTTCTGATATTCTTTTCCCTGAACAAATTAATAATTACTCAACGACACATTTTAAGACATATTAACCCTTATGGCTTGCATTATATTATCAATGGAGATGGGCGTATTTGAACCAAAATATGATTGAAGGATGAGTGTAGAATGGTGCAAGAAACCTTGTCGCTTTTTTACTAAGTAAGATCAGCTGTTTCTTTTGTAAGAGTCATTGAATGTTCAATGATGAAGGACATCTAGTTGGAGTTTTGAATTATCAAAAAGACTTTTCTTGAGATGTAACTTGAAACCTCCTGATTACTGTAACCATTAATCTACCTAGCTATTTACTGTACTAAATACAGCTTGTTTGTGGTAAATTATATACACCTCTACCTACATTAATTATTCAAAAAGTTTTAACTTTTCCCATTAGATTCTTGATTAGATGTATGTAAAATACAAGAAATCATTGTAGTATAGGTAGAATTTATCAAAATTCAAGCACTGTGTTTATTTTTTTTTATTTTAACCTTGCATTTGCCTGTCCACATAGACCACGATACCTAGTTATTTATCTTCTAGGTATACATTTTAACAGCAATAAAACCACGGTTCTGACAATTCATTTAAAAAAAGATAAAATATTTAATGGAATTACTTAAAAATTAAAGGTACTGACTAATTGTCAGACTGCACTAAAACAGTGTTGCTTAGAAAACAAAACAGACTATGAACTGTAATGTCCAGAAGCTGGTGCTCACCATGATCCACACAGTTGGGGATGTCGCAAGCCTCCTTCTTGATGGAATCTCCTTCAGCCACATAACACCAAGGCTGTGGGTCTGAGCTTCCCAGGTTGCGGCAATGGTTATGTCCTGCCAGCACACTCTTGAACGTCGTCTCAGACACACGATACTTCAGTGCTGACTTGACCTGTTGATGTAATACATAGTTAAATTAACACGTTCTCTACCAGACCTTGTATGTACACATATTCACTACTGTGTATCTCAGGTCAAGAGACAGTCAGTAGGCCTACTGAAAGTGTTAAATAATTTGAAGCATCAAAACATTATAAAGCTAAACATAACACTTTTCCTTCATCCATAATGTGGCAAACAGGGTTAAAACTCTTAACTTATATTTATTTATATAATTGGAGTAAACACCTGTTGTAAAACGTGTAATAAACTTCCTGAAAATTTGAACTGATTCTTTAATGTTATACATCCTATAGTGCTTGGTGAATATTATTATTAGAATTAACAATTTATTATCCTAAAAATATATACCGTAGCCTACATGAAATTGGCAACTCTAGAAATTAGGGTAAATATGCATTTTAGGGTTTCCAGTTTCCACCTGATTTTTTAATTTTTTTAAGTTCCCACCTGTCCCCTAGTGAGTTGGGGTTATTGCTGGCAGTATCACATTTTCGTCAAAATCTCGCTTATTTGACGTCGGATCCAAATAATTCTTGCATATTTGTGATCTGCTTGATATTCCCACATGACACATGACGTGTTTTGGTAAAACAACACTTTTGGTCGTTTTGGTTGTTTTTCCGGTTTATGGTCGTTTTCCTGGGAAAAAGAACGGGGTTTTTCAGAATCAGCGTTGAATATCGAGTAGAATGAAAAATAAAAATTCAAAAATCGCATGCAACCCTAAAATGCATATTAACCTAAATTAGTTAAATATTTCCTTTTACCATAATAATGATACACTGTTTATTCTAGGTTTATCTTTCACAAGTGGATTACCTTCGGTAACTCCCAGGGTAAACAGGCGGTTGAGGTCTCAGTGACGTTTGCAATGCCTCGGTAATCGTGGCCACTTCCTTTCACACAACCTACAAAATATATTTTGTTACACTATAGCACTAGTTAAGATAGTAAGTATCGGTATAGAGTTTTATGCATTGATACTGTAATAGAATTAACTGAAATGGTAAATAAAGGGATGTCAAAATCCTTGAGGATTTATATGGAGGTATGATAAATGGTCCTATTTCTATGACTATATCAAGTACCGGTACAGTAAGCCCTCTATAATTCGCCACTCCAGTAATCCAGCGTCTTTTGGCGGGTGTGGTAGGGGATTCAAGTTGAGACACGTTATTGTGTAACAGTTTGATGTACAGTGTCTCTCTATTTGTGTGCTGAGTGTGACTCTATTTAGTAACGGAAACATCATCATCTCCCGGGATCGCGGCAATTCATTAACATTTTTCAGTCGCGTGGATATTATCATCGTCTTCAGCGATCACAGCAAAATTCTGATCATTTTCCGCGGCCATGTAGACCATCATCATCGACCTCCGCAGTCACGGAAACGTCACCATCGTCTTGTGCAATCCGGGCAAATTCATGAACATCTCCTGCAGTCGTGTAGACATTATAATCATCTCAGACGGTACCGGAAACGGAAACGTCATTGTCTACATGCGTGTGGCAATAGTGGTTTCTGATCGTGCAATCTTCGCAGACAGGTTGGGTATTGGTATTGCAATTGACTTTTGACGATAGATTCTCGATACCAATACCAATTTCCAATTGGTATTGGTGGTATCGAGAATCAACTCATTCCCCACTTTATAACACTTTTTTGTGCATTTTAAGTGTTTTTATGGATGACATTCCAGTAATTTGGCATATTTACTAATCCGGCTGTACTAATCACGGTCCTATTTCTGTGGGATTACTGAGAGTCTACTATATAATATCTGGAATTTAAGGAAACTAATTTTGGTGGTAATTATTTGAATGTTTTCCAACAATAATACAACCGACAATAATACAATTTAGCTTATCTAAAAAATGTGCTTACACCAATCTTACTCTCTTTTCCCAAGCTGAGGAGGTTCTGACAAACAACCATGTAACAATTAATTGAAAAGTAATTTATAGCCAAGATACTTTAAATGTGACTGATAACAATACTTTGCTGTTTTAGTTTTGTTTAACCAATTTTGAAACCCAGCTAATATTATGCACAGAACATGACTGGAAATGTTTTGAACATACTAATCAGAATCAGGGTTTCCATTAAAACCCACATGAGTTCTCAAAAGCCCCCAAAAGAGACTGCTTTTGGTAGTGTATTCCTCTGGATGCACTGAATGGGACTACTGCAAGTTGCCCCCTTCTTATAATTGGGTCAAAGCACTACTATTATTTGGGGAGTCGTCTAATACAGCAGTTGGCCACCACTCTTTGTACTTGAGAATGGCCTGCTGTTCTTTAACCTCTGGGGGAAAGTTTCTGTATTTGATAAAAACTGATCATAGACAAAGATTGTACTTCTCCATATTTCCTCCGAACCCTCAATTCCAGAACAAGAATGATACCAACATTATATTGTACCATATTATTTGTTACCAATGCAGCTTGCCATTGCATTGCTTGGGTTGTTGTTGCAGGTCTGCAACTCTGCTTCCTTCTGAGTCAGCTAGTCAATGTGGATAAAGAAAGATTGTTGAAACTCACCCTGGTTCAGATGACATTACAAGAGTTGTGACTGTGCGTACGAAGAGTGGCCTTCTCACTAGACCGGCAATCAAGGTTTTCCCACTGCCTGTACTTGAAGACTAAATTTTATTACAGTTCCGCCCCTTTTGTTGCTTTAACTTTCTCTGTTTTAATTAGGCCTACTGTTTCTGTACTCACTTGTTAAATTAATTAATTGAACCTGCGGTTCAAGGGGCCCGGCATGTTTAGTATTCTATGGTTTATTTTATTTTAGTCTGGCTTCAACACATGTTTTGGGGGTTTTCAATTTTACTACATGTGATTATTGTTGTTCAAAATAGTCAAGAAATACATCACAGTTTTTCCTAATTCATTTTGCATTTATTTGTTGGTGATTTTCTCTATAGAATTTGTAATTGTATTTTAAAGTTATATAAAGGACTTTCTCATTCTTCGACAATATTAACCTCAAGACTAAACTCAAGATTGGTAAGATATAATTAATTATTCATGGTAATCTCTATTCAGTTCCATTACATCAAGCCTAAAACTATTCTCTCCACTTTAAATTCCCTAATCATTTCAAAGGAATAAAACAGAAGTTTGAGATACTCAGTCTTTTCACTTATCGACCCTTACCACCCTTGAGAAGGCCTAGGGTTCTGGAGGAAACTTCCTCACAAGATTTTGGCGCCCGAACAGGGACTCGAGTGAAGACTTTAGTGAAATTGTGAAAAGGGTAAGAAAGACCCGGACACTGTAAATATTGTAAATAATACTCCGTTATTGAAGAATAGAAAAATGCCGTCTGACAGTGATTCGGACAACGGAAGCATAGTCGAGGAAGAAAAGAGGAACCCGAGGACAGGTTGGATATATACCCTTAAGAAGGCGGAATTAGTCGAGGAGTTAAGGAAATTTGGACTTCAGTCTTCAGGAACAGTGAGAGCTGATCGTCGTAGCAGTTTCATCAGAGGAGAATACAGACCTGCGTTAGCTACCCCACCACCAGGATCGTCTAGAGAGACTACAGAAATGAAATCACCAACCAAAGAAGATTCCAAGATGGTGAGTCACAAATATTTAGAAAATATTAATGTGTGCAATACAGTCCGAAAGTGGAACCTTTTCTTCGATGGGCATAAGGATGTAGTTCTCTTTTTGGAACGAGTTAACGAAATGAACTCAATATCAATGCTACAATATCAAGGAAGACGAATTATTACCTGCTCTCCCTGAGTTACTCAAAGGAAAGGCGCTTCTCTGGTACTGGAACTACAAAACATATTGGAAAACGTGGGGTGAATTTTTATTCCATCTAGAAAATCAATTCCTGCCAAAGCGCTATAGGGAAAAATTGGATTCCGAAATAAGAGCTCGTACTCAAGGTCAAAACGAACTATTTAATGACTACGCAATCAGTGTACAGACCCTGATGCGGCGACATGGAAAGTATTCTTCTGAACAACAATTTAATCAGATTTACAAAAACATGCTCCTGGAGTATAAATTATATGGTCTCAGAGGGAATATAAAAACAATCGATGAACTAATGGTCGCTGCAAAAGAGTATGAATCCATTAAACAATCGGCAAATAACTTCCGCCTTCCGTGAATGCTGCACAATCCATGTATCCGGACATTGCGTATAAAGGTAGAGACGACCTCCCGAGGCCTCAACAACGTCCTGTAAGACAGAGTAATCAGTATCGTCCTCAAAATTTTTATCGGAGAAATAATAACTATGGTCATAGGGATTCAAGGCCCAAATGTTGGAACTGCGATCAACCAGGCCACATATTTAGAGATTGCCGTCTGCCAAAGAAACCTTCCCCGTGTAGGTTCTGTGGAGCAGAAGGAAAGTTAGGAAACTGTACCTGTCCAAGAGCGGTAAACTACAGAGGGGGCCGGGAGAAAAGGGGTCCACCCAGTCCTCGACAATAAACCAAATGAGACCCGTTACGGAAAGTAAGATCAGTGAAACGGCAGAACAAAATAATATGGATAATAGAATGTATATAGTTGTAAATGAGTGAAAATTTAAAAACGTACGTTTTCAGGAAAAGCACTTTGCAAATTTTTTTCCCCTTTTTTCAAAACTTTTATTATTTTTTTTAATTCATTAACATTTGAAGTTTCATAAAATGACCATGGTAACGCAATATCTTTGGTAGTTTCTTTTTAAAAGAGCATCTTTAGTAGAAAAACACAAAATCCTGTCACGACCATAACGGACGTTTAAATGAATATTAAAAATAGTTAATATTATTTTTATAACTATATTTTGCTAAAAACTAATTTACTTTTATGACCATTATATAATAAAAAGGTCACTGAGCTTTTTGTATATTTGGTCTTTCTAGAAAAAAATAAAAAACTCAAAAAATTAAAAAAAAGCCTATAAAATCTTTTTAAGTTTGTATAACTCCGAAAAAACTTACCCGAGACCCAAAAAATCGTTATGTTTGTATAGAGGTGTGCTTCTTTTGTGTATAAAACATTGAAATATGACGATATGTTAATTTTTGAAATTTTTATGATAGAAATCATAAACGTGATGGTCAGGGACAAGCGGAACGGTCGTGAATTGTCTGGAATAATCTAAATCTTTCTAAACAATACTTCAATTATCCTGTTAGTTATAATAAAAATATGTGTTTCAATTGAACTAAACTGTTCTATTTACAATTATATTAAAGTTATTGTCACGACCAAACACACTATAATCCATAAGGCTGGATTGGTCGTGAAAAAACCCGCGATGGTCGTGAAACTTTGGTCGTGAAATTACGTGTTATTTGGCTCTGTTCTGGCGGTAGGCCTGCACCTCATGTTCGAGGATACAAAGTGGACTTCTAGGTTATTCTAGCAATTGAAATATCTTATAAACAAAAATTAACACCATGTCTACTTTATCGAATGACTACGTACGGTCATGGACACACCAAAATTACAAAAAACACAATCTTTCCTTTATTAATCTTGTAATTCCTCCTTTCAACTCGAAACGACCGGCACTACAATCCTGACGTACACCCCGAACTAGTCTCTAAAACCAACTGACTCCATCGACGCCAGGCTTGCCACTGTCGTGCTCCAAAGTTGAAAATTTTTCCCAAATGGTCGTGACGCCAAATCGAGGGACAGACTTATTTTGTCATGGTAGTCAGTTTGTAATGACAATAAAATTATAATATGCTCCTTTTTTGTAAGTTTAATAACCATTGATGACATAAAAATATGGCATTATATATTTTGGCATGAATAATTAGTCTAAAAACAGCGTGAAAGTTGGAGAATGTACCCTAGGGACACGTCATGGTCGTGAATTTCGAGACTTTAAAAATACGAAAAAAATACCTAGAACCTATTTAAAACCAAA